GGTACTATGATGTGTCGGGCAGGTGCTGCACTGTTCAGGAGAACCAAACACCCTCAGTAATCTGTCCCCACTCTTACGCTCTCCCAGCGATATCAATGTCTACTGCCTCACTGCCAGCAGCACTTAGAAAGGTAGGAGAAAACTACATATGTGTGTTTATATAAATGTAGATATAAACAAACATGCTTACATGTATCGCGAAGATGTCTATTCTGAAACACAAGGTATAATTGTAATCTTCCTTTAAAAGACCTGTGTTTGAAGTACTGGAAAATTTTCAAATTAATAACATGTACGGAAATAAGGAAGGTACATAATGACTTCAGTTGGCGTGAAGAGACAAAAAAGAAAATGGCTCGAGGAGATCTTCCACATGCTCCCACAAACCATATGGCTTTTTCCTTTTGTTCATAAAAAATATGAAAGCCAAAATAATAAAGGAACAACACCTACATTTCCAGTACTCTTTTTCTCCCAAATTTGCCCTGAACCAGGATACTCTGTAAGTTTTTTTCCAGAGAAGAATGAATGGCTACACATTTGTTTCTAGTGTTCATTTACCTCATGCAGTGTTAGTCATTTGCTTGGCAGCAGTATTACTGCATGGAAGCAAGCTCGGGAAAATGCTAATTACTCCTGTTCTAATGTGAGAACTTAATTTCAGATTGCAGACGAAGTTGTGCAATGCCATTCTTGTCTTTATTGTAATATTTCTGTGGAGAGAGAAATACTATTTTTCCACATTAACAAAAGTACTCAGCGGGTCAGTAATTGAAAAAGTTTCTTTCTTCTTGGTTGTGGAACTAATATTCATCTGAATATAATTTATGAAGGCTTAAAATATTCTGTCTTTAAAACAAATGCATTTATTTTTCAGTCTTCTCAAGCCAGCAAATCCCATCTACTAACTTCTGCATTTGGAAAAAACTCATTGGTCTTTAGCTGAATACACAAATAACACAAGCCCCAAATATCCCTTTTGGACTCATTCAGGATCTTAGTTCTATTGATACTGTTGAAACATCCTACAAAAAGATCTCAGTTCTTCCCAAAACAGCAAAATGGCACGTTTACTGTGCTGGGATGACATTCCCCTGTAGTAGAGCTAGCTGTGAAATTGGCTTTCCAACAGAAAAAAATGCTGTTCACCCTATTGCTGTCTTGTATATTAGCTTCTTCCAAGAACTTCTAGAAAAGCAAGTAGATGTTTGATATTTTTCAGTGGCAAGAACAGGAGGGTTTGGCGGTTGCTTAGAAAGCTCTGAGTTGGCATTTAGTTCTTCTGGAAAAATTTGTTCATACTTACAGATAAATTAAATTGTGGGGGTGTCATTTCTCTAACCTGGAATCAATCCATTTTTAGTAATAACATTTAAAACCTTTTAAATGAAGCTTCTGAAAGTGAGTGAGACTAGGCCATGTAATTTTCTACTTTGATGTATAATGCAAAAGTCTGATTGTTAGATAAATTATAAAAATCAAGGAAATCGCCTGGAGGGGTGTTTGCGTGTGTGAATTCAGCAGTTTCTTTTGTATTGGGATAATCTCCTAATGTGTGTAATAACACAGTCACCTGCTGATGACAGATGGTTTATGGGGATTGGGATTTAAGGAAGCCCTGCCTTCCCTCAGCATTTTATGTGGGAGAGTGGTAGAAAACGGTGGATTAGAAAACGTAAGCTTGCATAAGGCTCCTCTCTGCTGCTGTTCTTTATATGGAAACCTTTTCATAAGCCTTTCAAAGCTAAATGTACTGAGTAGAGTCTTGCAGAATAACGTACCCAGACTAATTTGTTTTATCCTCTGTTTTTGCCTAATTCATATTATTCCCTTTACCTTGGGTAATTAAGAACTGACTCCAGCAATGACTAAGACAAGCTCTCCTACATTCTTTTGTTAATTAAACAGTCTTCCTACAAAATCTTGCTTATCAGTCTTTGGAGCTCATAAAATTTTAGTTTTGTTTTCTGGGGAAAAAAAAGAAATTTGATTTTGCTGCTTTCCTTTTTTTTATGGTTTAGTTATTATTAAATGATGGTGTTCACCTTCACTTAGACTGCCTTTCACTCTCAGCCAGTTCGTGCCCTACTAGTCAGCAGAAGATCTAAAATAACCACTCCCTTAATGGTTTTCTTTACCTTCTAAAGAAAAAGCTGTCCCCAGCGTATTCCAAGAACTTGTTGGACTGTCTCCTTCATGTATTTATTTTTCAACAGAAAAAAAATTAATTTCAAGAAGTAATTAAGGCCATTAGGTTCTGTCCTTTTGGATGCTTCCCTTGTGTGATCAAAAAACACGACTTCTCTCCACCCAAAATGATAGTCTGTAATAAACTTCTATCTTAGTATACCCTGGTTTTCCCTTTTCATCTTCTTCCAGGATTATTTAACAAATCTTCATCTCTCCTCTTCCTGTACTTCACAGCAACTGTTCTTGATGTACAGTGCAACTTTGTTTCTCTTTCTTGCTTGACTTCCATATAAACAGTGATGGTAAAACAACAGGATATTAAAAAATGTTTAAGATCACTTGCTTGATGCTTGATCACTTACTCAATGAGTAAATGTTGCGTTGCCCAAATTATAAGGCAAAAATACTTCTTTTCACTACATCATTTTCTTAGGAAAAGAGAGGCATCCTTCTGTGACAACATTTCTTTCTCATCAAATACTTCTGATGTTGATTAAGATGTATTTCTGATTCTGTACAGATTTACACTTTCTTTCCCTTTGCGAGGCCACCTGGAATCTATATTAAGCTTCTGACTGGAACAATCAAAAATGTTATATAACATATATAACCATGAAAGAGAGATTTCAGAGTGTTCTTATAAAAATACAAACTGGGTATGTTTATTAAGTCACTGGAGGTAAGTGGATCTACAAGAAATTAAAAATCATACAAATTTGAGTATATGCTTCATTTTAGGGTTTGATCCTCCTATAGGCCATTCACTTAAACGTTGGACTCGATTATCCTTGTGGATCCCTTCTAACTCAGAATATTCTGTGATTCTGTGTGATTCTTGACTTTTCTAGTCCTGTGCTATTTAATGTGCAAAACATTTGTTTCATGAAACCAAACATTAGCTGTTTCTCTTCTGGTATTTTGGCAAATGGACATTTGATAATACATTGTTAAATATTAAAGAGCCCTCAGAAATAATTTCTAGATGTCAGATCCACAAAATACACTATTTCTAGAGTTTAAAACTCAGCTTATTTCCTTTTCCCAAATAATGTATTACATCACTGGTTACATTTTCAAGTTTTGCTAATTGAAGCAAAATAGGAGCATTTGGTATCCTTGAGTTTGTTTGCAAGTGAAGGGAAAATAGCTTTCTTAGATTCCTGTTTGTATTTACAATGTCTCTGTGGATTGCTTGAGCTGTCATATAGCGTATACTGCACGATGTAGACAGCTGTGGCCATGATTTTATTATCTGTTTTTTATATCTTTTAGTCTTATTAATAAAACAATGTGGCCAGTGTTCTCACTAGGAACAAAGGAACAACTTTCTGAATGCTTGACTCATTTCATTATCTTTGGATAAATAATAATTAAATATGAGAACCAAATTACAGATAAAATTTGTGTTTTGCAGTCATGCAGCTTCAGTAGTGACAAAATACTGATACCAAGGGTGAAGGTGTCCTACCTGTGCTGTGGCAAACTCAAATGACCTTAAATTATGTAGTTAAAGACAAACACATGTTAACCTGATAGGTTTCTGTACTGTTACACTGAAAGGCATTTATTCCCCTAGAGAGCTATTTCAAATTTAGATTGGCTTCTGCTGATAGTAAAATGAGTGAATAAAAATAGAGTTCTTATTGCTTCATTATTTATATATTTCCTCTGCATTAGGAATAATGATCACAAAAATATAGACTTTAAAATTCCATGTGAGACATTTAGGTTTTATCATCTTTTTTTCTAAGTCACATCTGTGTGCTCTAATGCTGTCTCTGCTCTTATATTCAGGTGTTGATTAGTCATATTTTCAGATTTATAACCAGGTACCTGTCCAAAGGTTTATCAGGATTCTTCATCTAGATAAGAGTTCTCACACCTACTTGCTACATGAACACAGCCACTGCCTTTCACACAAAGATTCAGTTCTATGAAATGAATATTCATTGAAGGAAACTGGGTGGAGTATTTCTAACACCCAGGTGTGGCTACGGAAGCCCATTTTGATTCTGTGTCAAATTACTGGATTAAATGAGTTTATTCTATCGCTGCCTTTGCCATATTCCTGAGACAGCAGATATGCAGATTTCTAATTCCTCCTGCTCTTTTAACTCATCTTTCAAGATGATAGTTCATCAAGGTCTAAGATATTTTCATGTTAAGATTCCTCCTTCTTTAATTTTTGTCTGCCTTGCTCAGAGAAATGTTAGCAAGACATTCAGCCTAGCTTGTCATACTGCTTTTTATTACAGTGGTTTATTTTTTCAAGAAATAACAAAACCTGAAGTCTGTTGGTATTTTAGTAACCATGGGGTTACTAAATTACCTCCCAGAGTGATGTTTAAATGGTAGAAACAAAGTATTTTACACAGTCAGTTGATGAACTTCCATACCAAGTAAGTGAAAAAGCAGGTGAGTCACTTCCAAAGTAACAGACAACAAAATTATCAGTTCATGGATAGGTGAGAGGAACCTGTCCACAGGAGAACAAGTTGTTGCCTTAAGGTTCACCCCAATTTTTAATAGATAAGGCCTTTCAGTGGTTAACCAATCTCCTCCCAGAATTTGAGACTGAAAGAAGAGAAGGCCTCCTTCTCCAGCTTGGAATCAGAAAGCTAAACAAAACTTGGTAGCCAAGGTCCTGCAAAATGAGTCATGCAGGGGCTGAGAATATTTTCTGGTGCTGGTTTCCTCAACCGCCCCCCCCTTTCCAATTTCAGGAAAACACAAACCTGCCTTGTGCAAAGACTGAAGGGAGAAAAGGAGGGGAAATTATATGACACTGTAGTATCTTTTTTTTTTGGGGGGGGATGAAGGTGAGTTTTAGGAAGGCAGTTACCTAAGAGAGGCCTAGGTGAGGCAGGGGGCTGGGTTTCTCCTTGGTTTTGTTTTGTTTTCTTTTACAATCTGGATAGGTCCTCCCTCAGCTGTTTGGAATAGGTTATATCTTTCCAGATAATTAAATGTTGCATCAGGACAAATTTTTATTGCATTACCTGGAAAAAGACAGGGGAAAAAAGCCTGCTCAGTGTTGTGCTGCATGTCTGGATTCTTGCCAGACTTTCTATGTGCTTGACTCTTAATGCTCAACTTTTTTTTTTCCCCTCTTCTTTGGTATAACTTTTGTGTTTGTTACCTGGTAAAATTACTGTTATTCTTTGTGTGGGAAATATGGCATGGGTCACTCAGGGTGGTTGTGCACCTCACTGAGAGTGAGTGTTCAGAGTAGACAGGTCATTTGCTACTGAGTGGTGGTTCCAGCCACCATCCTTCTGCAAGTGTAACTTGTTTCCCTGAAATAATGGTCACATCTTCTACCTCCCTCCCAGGCTTAACCAGTTGAATCATTTTCCTTTCCTTTTTTCTTTCTTCCTTTTTATTTTTTTTTTTCCTACTAGGAATTCTCCCTTGCTAATAGACACAGATTCAAAAATTCATAGATTATCCCTTGATAATCTATTATAAAGCTGGCATTCACTGCTCCCTTTTCAGTTACTCATATTTGTGCTCACTCTGCTAGGGCTACTTTTTACTGTTGCTCCCCATTATCATCCCTACAGAGGAGAGAGTAGCTTCCCATGTTTTAAATTTAAAGTATAACTTTTAAGTTCTTTATCTAGATGGGTCTGCTTGTGAGAGTTACCTACATGTGATGTGCCTCTGGTTCACTAATTTATGGGAAATCTGAATAAATATATTTCTTTAATTTAAATAAATCAAAAATACAGCAATAAATATTTTATAGGCTAAAATAGGTGAAGTAATTTTATTTACATTTTTATTTATAAACATATACAGATATGCATGTATGGGTGTATATTTAAATGTACATATGAACTGAAGGATTTTTGGGGGATATTATTCATAAGCCATGGCTTTGGGATTGCTGTCATGACATATTTGTATCAGTTGAAGAAAACAGTATATAGAGAGAATGGAAAAAGAACAGATGTGGTGAAGCATGGATCACATGAGAGTCCTTTGACAACATTCAGAACAGTACATTATCCCTTGTCTGTATGGCTTTTAATAGGATGCTATAGTGCTGACCAGCACACTAATTCCTTATTGTCCTTTCAAAGCAATTTGTTCCTATTCTTGGGCTGCAACCATGATGTGATTTGGACAAGAAAGTAATGTTAATAGGAAAAGAACACTGAAGTCTTTACTTTGAAATTCATGGCAGAGAAGTAATCAAATTCTCAAACCAAACCAGTTGAGTAGGGTGGAGAAATGTGGGAAGGGAAAAAGAATGCTTCATTTTGCCCTGGCCATGCCAACATTTCCTATAGGGTTGACAAAGCATTTATATACTTAACAAATATTTAATTTGCTCTGTCCCTAAAACTTTTAAAAATTTTTAGGGTGTTTAGCTATGAGTCATGCTCTGTTTTGCAATAGTATGCGATAATACAGAAGTATTTTTGCAGATTTATTTAGTTGATAAGTATGCAATTCATAATTAAAAACACAACATCATCATAAACATTAAGAAAAAACTCCAGAATTTAGGGAGTACTGAAATCATTATGGAAGCCAGGAAATGCAGAACTGGGACAGAATTTAAATGCTGACAATTTAAGTCACAGTGATGTCTCGCACAAACACTTGTGTTCCAAGAAGCCACTGTATATTAATTTACTTGTCCACAGTTTGGTGAGTAGTGTCATAAACCAGTAAACTGAAATGGCATGGCAAATGCTAAAACCCACAAAACAAAGGGGGAATAATTTTAATATAGCTTCTATCAAAGATTTTCTGCAGAGAGAATATTAAGAGCATGATCTACAGAGACATAATGGCACTGTTGACTAGCATAAGTATATTTAACTGAAAGAGGTGCTCAGGATCATGCAAACAAAACAGAATTAACCCCAGCATGTCCAGATAGTCTTCGTGTAATACTACCTGCCAGCAAGAATGCACATGTAGGTGAGATCTTCCTAAAGAACAGCACTAAGAGTGGAGGACTGAACTTTGCTTTTGTTAATTTTTTCAATTTTAGTAATGTATAGTTATGTCTTTTAACATAGACCTTTCTCAACATTAACACTTAAAAATATAGGAGTGGCAGAGCCCTTATGTTACTTTTAATAGTGCATGGGTGCTGTTGTACTTGTAGGAATGCTGAATCAGGACACTTGGGCAGCCAGCTGCAGTTGTAAGTCAGCATTGGTAAGGCTTATTGCTCTGATAGAGCCTAGATACTATGTCTGTTTTCATGGAAAATAATAATGAATTTATGTAATAATTAATTTATGTACCTCAAGCCCATTTGCTTTTGGGATGTGATAATTGCACATCCTTTGCTTTACCTGTGTCTGCTCTTTGTTAAGGACTTGATGGGAGGAGGGAAGAGGGGACAAGAGGAAAGGAGGGCTAGACAGGAGAAATGGCACAAAAATAAGCTAAAACCACAAATCAAGAACAATTAATTATTTTAGATTAAATTCACAGCAGATAAGAAAGAAAGCTATCCCAAAAAATGGAAGTAGGAGTGTTCAGAAGACAGAACAAGCAGTTTCTGTCATTTAAATGCAATCAGTTACATGATAAAAGGTTTGTGCTTTTCAAGGATTCTGCTGTAAGTCAGGTTTATTTTATGTCTCTGCTTAAAGAACTATAATTCTGATATTTGCATCCCTAAAAGATTAAGTGACTTGTAGTAGTATTGCCTTTCAAACACAATTGATCTGAGACACATGACAGAATTAAGGATTACTTATGATACAAACCTTTGGTCAAGCATCATTTTGCCCAGGTTTCCCAGGACACAGCAAGCATTCATAACACTGCAGCAGAGATGCTCTGGATACAAAGATATTATTCTTTAACAGAAGAGGATAACAGGTGTCCTCAATTCAGCCATATTTCCTAATAGTGAAGACAGAAGAATCAAGCAACTAGTTATACATGCAGTGTCATACTTACTGTCTAGGCAGAGAACCAAAATTCTGAGAAGTCACGATGTCAAAAAACTTGAGCACCAAGTCCACTAGAAAACTATCTGCTTATTGTGATTTGGCTTTAGCCCACTGAAGACATGCTCTTCCTTTTATCTTCCAAAAAGCCTGGAAATCTATGGCTAATTACAGCACAAGAGAGGTTCTCAGCTATCCATGACAAAACCTCTCTGAGTATTGCTCAACAAAATTACTTCTCTGCTTAATAAAATACTGTGTTGCTGAGTAGACTGATGGCATCATGGCAATTTCCTTGTTGGTTAACTTTTTTTCCATATTCCCACCTCATTATTCTGCCTATCCCCATTTGAACCACAAATTGACTTCAAAATTAACTTACTAAGGTTTTCATTTTGCTGTTTCCAACATGGCTAAGACACCAACTCTCTTATTTCCTAAAAATAACATCTAGGTTAGGGTATGTCCCATTATTATGTCTGGTTCAGAGAGACCTTGAAAACATCTCTTATATTTATGCTGCATTTTGGTGAGGTTAGTAGGAGAGCGTCTAAGCTGTGGTTGATTGTAGGTGTGTACAGGACTACAGCTGACAATGAAAATGGGCCTTCGAGAAGAGCAAAACACAGGAGGGAAGACAGCATGGAGTTATATATCATTTTCGTAGAAGGAACATAGGTCCTGGAATATCAATGCAGGAGGAATCTGTGTTGCAGTCTAATACTATGGCATTCAAGATGGCAGTGGATGTACTGAGTCAAGAACAATCCCTTCACCCCTTAAGAATATATCTGAAGGCAGGAATACCAGTAAATTCTTACTCTGATAGACATCTTTCAAGTACTTACAAAGTTTATTGAGGAGATTGTTAAGGACTTGATGTATATATATGCATGTTTTGTTAAAAACATCCAAACAAATTTGAACTTGTATCAGACAACCTGCATATACTTATTCTTGACTGGCAACTTAAAACTGCTGTCACTTGGATAATCGTCCTTCTGAGCAATTCAATACATTCACCTTGAATAAGGTGAAGTATAAAAAGGATATGTTCAGCTCTACATTGGGTCTGAATTCTGAATAGTATTCATATTCAGCTCTGTTGGAATTGAATTTCATCTGAGTTATTGCAAGCTCCATGTAATATTGTGAAAAATTTAGTGGAAGCAGTCGGTGAAAATGTGTTTCTTTTAGAGAGGATAAATGAATGGCCTGAAGTCATGTGAGCAGTCATCCTGGAATGTGATAGTGCTGAGGTCTTCAGGGCTGGGCTGCTGAATAAACTGCAGTCTCCCAAGCAGGGACAAAATAAAAGGTCTATCAAACCAGCACACGTCTGCACTTTGCATGAGTGAGATAATGTGGACAGCCACATACTCACTGTGGTATTGCCCAGGGAATGCAATGAACCCTTCATGCACTGCAAATTATTTAGGAGGTCTGTCATCAATGATCAAGCATTGACAGTACATAATGACTCTGGTAATGGTGACATGGGAGTGTGCACCAGGCAGTCTGGTATTATCGCTGACCATCCTTTATCTGCCCCACCTCTGTGCATCATCATGCCAAACACGCAGCTACATAGCATTGCAACATTTCACAGGTGTTACTTATGCTAGTATGTAACTTTTCCTTAGGATGACAGCCGGCACTTTACTGCTTTCTTCCCAAGGGTATACTCCTCCCTTCTCTTTCCCTTGGTGAGTACAGTCCTGTGAAGCTGCTCTTTGAATCACCGGGGATTTGTTTTTGGCCTCTATGCTGGGCTGCTGTGCAGTGATCTGCAGTCTGGAGAGCTGAGGACTTGTCCTGCATCATGCTTTTCTTGTACCATTTCCACACTTGTGCAATGTGTTGGAATGGTTTTCAGGACCTTGGCAGCTAGCTCTGCTCTCTCCTTGGGTGTGGCCCTCTTTCCATTTTGCCATGCTACGTGACCAGCTGGCTCACACTGCACCTGAGCACCCTCAGACCTGAGGAGGTTGCGACACACAGCTTTTGCTAATAGTCCATTCCTCCTGACCAGGCTTTTGCCACTTTTTAAGCTATATAAGGTGTGCGACAATTAGGAATGCATGTATGCATACAAATATGTGTAATTTATTGCTCTGTAGTGCCAGCTGCAGTGTAATAATGGGTTTGAAGAGGGTAGTCATGAAAAACTTCACCTTTCTGGTTTTATTGTCTCAAGAACTGAATTAGAGTGAATAAGCTGGAATGCTTCTTCACTTACCTCTTTAAAACAGGCACTCAATCTGCCATGGTTCAAGATCTGCAAAAGCAAAGCATGACCCACTTAAAAAACCAAACTGCCTAAACAACAGTTCAATAAGATCTAGAGATTGTAAAAGAAATCTACCATTCTTACAAACTAGTATTGTTCATAGAATTTTTAAAATCACAGCGGGGTAGCATTTCACCAGATAAGTTTCCAGTTTGTTGTGGTTACTATATCTAAAGATTTAAATAGAATGTAATGTTTTCTACTACAGACTTTGTCTTTTTTATGATGGAAGTTTGAAATCTTAATTTCCTCTGAATCATATCTTATGACGTGCAAATGAAAATTTATCTTCTTTTCCTCTCCTATCTTTAGAATTCTCCTCTCCCTTCTTTTTTTTCTTTTTTTTTTTTTTTTTTTTTTTTTTTTTTGTTCTTTTCCTTTTACTATTTTGCTTTCTAGGATATATTTTCTGGAAAAAAAAAAAAAGAGAATAATTGTCTCAGAGGAAAATAGAGATTAAAAAGTTTAGCTTTTGAAAAGTCTGAAAAGTCTGACAAACTATGCCATAAATGTTTAGCAACCAGAGTTCAGATTAAAAGAACATGAAGATCTGTTTAGTTTTTTTACGTCTCCTCTGGAGAAATTTGTGATTTGAAAATCACAGAGGTAATTCTGGATATTCCCCTCCCTCTTCTCCAGGGTAGTTTTGATGGTATTGTTTCTGAAAAGACTAAGGGTTATCTTTTTTTATCTGTTGTGTCAGACAGCTTTTATTAGATAAATTTCTGACTCTGAAAAAGACTCCCACTTTCCAAAGATGGGAGATGTGAAGACAGTTTGTGAGGGTTTTTTTCCAAGTGTCTGCCAAGCAAAAGAGAAGCTCCCCCTGCTTGTTGCTGACTGCTGTTCAGAGCCTTGTGCACGGCTGGGAAACTGAAAAGCTTTGTCAGGTTCACCATGTAGCCAGCTGGGAAAGCCTGGGTTGCAGAAGAGAAAAACGATGGAATCACCTGCAGAAAAGGGTAGGTAGCTAGAGAAAAACCCTGCAGAGTAGGAGAGATCTGTATTCCCAGCCTTTCCCAGCCGGTGCCAAGAAGGCGTGGGAGGGAAGCGGGAAGCGGTAGATAAGAGGCAGGGGAGAAGACTCATGCTTGCCTTCTGCATACAGGAAACACTTGTTGTCTACCAGGTTTTAATGGTCGTCAACTACCTCCCTCCAACATTCCACAGCACCAGCAAATAATGGAGTGAGTTTATGCAAAGGCGACTTCAGGAGTTGCTAATGGAGTTGTTTTGCTATAATTATTTAGAAAGTATCTAAAATAGTTTGAGCCCAACACTACAACTGTTGTAGCTAAAACTGTGATTAGTTATGATGCTTTTAAGGGTTAGCTTTAAAAATATCTTTGTCAAATCCGTTGTTCTAAGCCAGTCACAGACTATGTTGGATTGGCTGATATCCAAACTAATAACTTGAGAAATTCAAGTGCAGAATCAATAACTCTCTATATTTCTTGACATTTCCTGGAAACCTGGGCGTTTCTGAACTCTACAGTTTCAACCAGTTTCATCTAATGCCCTCTTGCATTATTGTTCATCCACAAAATATATTTCTAGAGGTAAGACATGATGTGGGTTTTTAAATACCAAGTAGGAATTAGAAATTTCATCTAATTATCCAACAATAATAGTAGTGTGATTTAAATGCTGTTGTAGTTGTATCTCTTTAGTAGCTAACATTTAGCAGTTGAAGTGCACAGTAGCATAATGCAGCATGACTGCAGTAACTAATCTGTAATAGCACGAAAAAAAGTATCTCTCTTTTTTCTTCATAAGTAATAATATATCTGTTTTCTAGACAGATGCATTGTTTATTTTAATGCTTTCTGCATTAATTAGTTCTGTTTGGAGCCTAAACTAAACATACCTAAGAATAAAAATGCATTTCATGAGAATATTTCCTCTTAGAAGTTTCTCTTGCTTAATGGAGAATATTGCGATATGGAAGTAATTGTGATGTTATAAGCAAAGAGTTGGAAGGATATTCCACTTAATTTACAGTTTTGCCCACAACAGTATAGAGAACCAGTGGGTTTGGAGTCATTCCCATTTTCTTCAGACTGGTTTTATAAAGTTTATTCTAACCAATAGTGAGACACTTCTCTGTAATAACTATTATAAGAAATAATTTTAGTGAAATCCAGAAGCCTTAGGTTAACACTGTTATTTGGAAAAAATGCTAATAAATGCTATATAGTTATATATATAGTATTGTAATTCAGATGTAAAATGAGGTATCAAGTTGGTTTTTATGAAGTCAGGATAAGGTATTTTAGTAATAATAGTTCCTTGTACTTAAGACTCTTCATTTGAACATGGTGGAAAATCTGTACATCAAAGAATTTATCAAGGAGTGTAAACACTTTATACATTTCATAAAAGGGCTTTCTGAAGCACACAGGCTATTGAATGCAAATTTTCCAAAACAGCTACTATGTTGGGCACCTCGATATTGGGGGCCTGACTTGAGACACATTTCAGTTGAAAGGTACCAAATGATACCCTGGTATAATGTATAACAGGATTTACATTGCATGATTTTAATCTATTTAATGAGAGCTTCTGTGGAGAAGAGAGACAACATTAATTTCATGTTTAAATAAAGTTTGATTAAATATTGTGATTTTTCATTCTGCTAAGTGGTTTTCAGAGTCAGAACCATACCTTAATTTTATTCTGTCACAGGACCATCACATCAACATTACAAAGCCAGCATGTTAAACATGGAGTTCGCTTTGTTGTTTAGGAATTTGGCTTTGATCAAATTAGCAGTCCAATTTGCAGTTCATTTTCTGTCTTCATTCTTTCACACCTTAACAGCCTCACCTTAGTAACACAGTGCTCACAAGGATGGTTTTCTGCTTCTTGCCCTGTGACAGCCTATATTCTACTGTGCCTGACCTGAGGAAAGTCCCCATGTTGCTAAAGGCATTTAGTTTTCCATTTATAGATTCAGACTATCTGCTACCCAAGAAAAAAATCTCCGGTTTTATAAATTTCAAATTACATAATGAGTTACTTTTAGGTGTCTAGAGCTATAGCTCCTGAAGGACACTTGGGTGCTTTAGTTAGTTTAACTAAGTCCTGAGCATCTGTTCCCTAGACTGAATTAGTTTTAATGCAGGTGAGACCTAGGTTTCCTACCTAGTAGTGTGGGACAATCTACACCCTCCTCTGCTGAGCACTTACAGCCAGCTAAAAAGAAACACTGGGCACAGGAGTGTATTAGAAATTCTGCCTTTTTCTTGAGCTACATAGAATCATAGAATATCCTGAGTAGAAGGGCAAAGTCCACCTCCCGGCCCTGCACAGGACACCCCAAGTGTCACACCATGTGTCCAAGAGCATTGTCCAAACACTTATTGAACCCTGTCAGGCTTGGTGCTGTGACCACTTCCCTGGGGAGCCTGTTCCAATGCCCAGCCATCCTCTGGGTGAGAACCTTTTTCCTGATATCCAACCTAAACCACCCTGACACAACTTCAGGCCGTTCCCTGGGGTCCTGTCACTGGGCACCAGAGAGAAGAGACCAGTGTCTGCCCCCGCCCTTGCCCATATGAAGAAATTGTGGACTGCAGCGGGTCTCCCCTCAGTCTCCTCCAGGCTGAACAAGCCAAGTGACCTCAGCCACTCATCATACAGCTTCTTCTCAAGATCCTTCACCATTTTTGTAACCTTCCTTTGGAAGCTTTCTAACAGCTTAATATCCTTGTTATGTTGTGGCACCCAAAAATATACACAGGACTCAAGGTGAGGCCACGTGCAGTGTCATGTAGAGATGCCCAGGAAAAGCCAGCTCAGTTAACCAGCACAGAATAGCCACATCAGTGCCCTCTTTGGCGAAGACTGATAAAATATGTGGCTCTGTAAGATTATTTCCTTTTTGCCGTATAATCATTTAATGTAATGCTGCAAGACTTTTTCAAGTGCCATAGGCTTCCCAGACTGCTGAGCTCCTATTGACAGCAGCACTTTTGTGTGAAAGCATGGGGAAGAGATGAAGATTGATGGTGCTTAAGAAAAAGCTGATTTCCGGAGACAGATCGCTCAGTTGGTGGTACAAATACTTCAAAGTTTGCAGAAAAAGAATTGTATTTCTTGTCTCTGGTAACTATACGCAAATACTTTGTCTAAAAGGAGTAAGTGTTGCAGTAAGCTGTAGATCTAAATTAAACGATTTATGTTAAATCTATACTCACCAGTATACACCATTTAGAGTTAGTGACAGGACACTGTACACTCTCATAAAACAGATGAGGTACTTACAAGCATAGAAGAAAGAGACCTGCTAAATCAAAACCACTTACGTAATAGATTCTTTATCATTGTGAATTGCATTCAGAAATGAAAAAAGAAAAGGAGTTAAATTTGTTAGTTGTAGCTTCTGATTAGGGGAGACTTTAACTCCAAGCCACTCTCTTCCTCTCCAAAATGCTTTTGCCATTTATCCTCTATTGCTTAACAGAAAAAGTACTTACAAGTTCCTATCTCTTAGACCAAAACATACATATGTTTATTTTCACTCTTTACTTTGAAAGAGATAATTTTGATGAATCTTTACACTAAGATTATCTAGTGATACAGCTCTGACCCAGCAGCAAGATTCAAAATCCTGAGAGTGAGGATGTGAGGCTAACTCATATCAAACTTCCTAACTTTCTCTTGTACTGAAACACAAAGAGTTGCAAGTGCAATCATTTATGTTAATACTATGTTTTTGCATATAATTTTTTTCTGGATGTCTTTCAGGTTCAGGAGAGTTTAAATATTCTCTCAGTTATTCATTAACTAGTCCCTGCTCCTGCTTTTGGTGCTAGTTCTTTCTGTTTTTTCAAGTCCCTTTTTAGTACCATTTTACCATGAGTAGCTCAAAAAATAGAGATTTAATATGCCAACCTAGGAAGGTGAAGCACCAAGGATGCCAACATAAAGCAGTCTCTTTCTGCATAAAGGCACAGGTGATTTTTTTTTCCTTTAGCCATCCTAAATTTGGATCAGAAAACAGTAACCAGGTCTGTGAGAACCAACGTGTGTGGTATATTTTCTCCTACTGTTGCATATCTGTGCTTTGGTATTGCATGTTAATTAATACACGTAAGGTGTTTGCCCAACACTAACTTTGTAGTCCTTTGCAACATGTTCTCTGCTTCTGTAGAGCTGCTTACTGAAGGACTTGCTGCCACCCTTCTGCAGTTCTTTCTCCTATCCTCTAATTGAGCCCCTTCCACAGCTCTAATTTGTTTGCCAAATGACTTATCAGTTGGAAAGGCTCAAGTCAGATACTACTTCCTTTTTTTTGTCTTGTTTTTACCTGAGTGCTGCCAGAAGAAAGAAGGGGTTAAAGCGTGGGAGGATTGCTAAGAAAAAGGGTTTGGTTAGTGACATACAGGACTGCATCTCACACACGATAGTTTGTTTATTCTTCTGTAAACAGCAGAAAGAATTATCATCATCATGGTAAGGCAAACAACACTTTTATTCCTTTTTTAAACTTCACCCGAAATCTTCATGTTAATACACACTTACTTTTTTAAAATCATAAAATCAACTGATCTCCATTAGTTTTATAGAGCATTTATTTAACTGACATGCTCCTTTTGACAGAGGGGAGGGGGAGAAGATTTTAGTTTATGGAAATAACTAGCTCTGGGGAAGAGGAGATGGGAACAGACATGCCTTTTCTGACATGCCCGTTCTTATTTATCTCCCTCCTCTCCTAAATGCTCATGTAAGGATCTCTTTCATTTTATCAATGCCTCTTTGTCTTTCCTGAGCTTTTTTGAAAGATTTCCATTCATTTGATTTTATGTGATTTGCTCCTTTCAGTTTTCCTGTTCTTTTTAATACATACAATATCTAAATCTTGGTGTTTGTCACCTAAGAAATATTATGGGATAAAACTATTTATATATACATCTATACTTCTTGAGCTGATTATTTCCTTTCCAAAAACCCATTAAAACCACAGGCTCATTAGTCTTATTAATCTATATACTGTTGCAAATTAATCAATTTTCAATGTACGTTTGAACTAAAAATCTACTTTTACAGTGAAAAAATAAATTGGAAGCAGACAGGTCCTGTTCTCTTGAAGATAAGAAATGTTTCACTAAAGTATCTTGACTTACTAGAAAATGCAGTATGTGTAAAAATATTACTATTAAGAAAACTTACGCTTGTTTCACTTAATTCTGCTCAAGTCTCGCATTTACAGCCCCTTGCTTATTCAGGTAAGTTCCTGAATCTAAATAAATGCATTCCCTGCACAAATGGCTCAGGTAAAGCTGAAATTGTCTAAAATCCAATTATTGCTATTTATATTCTCTATCTGCATAGCAGGCAAAGAGCTGACAGAGGCAGAGAGTGAATTCCATGCTAGAGTAGACCTGTTAAATTTAAAGTGTTTTTTTCTCTAACTCTGAAGAGGACACTGTCAACTGGGAACATGGTATCCTTAAAATAGATGCTAAAAAAAGTTTTAAGAGTATATGCCAAACTCTTTGTATTCAGTAGAAGGCAGTTTGGGAGTTAAAATAACATAAGCCATATTTTCCTAATAGTGACCCCCGCTTTGTGTCTTTGTGAAGGGTCAGCATAAACAATGAACAATGAGTATAGTGAATTGAAGTAATTCAAATCCATTTGATTGGCAGCAAGGTCAGTTAAACTGGTTAAGTTTAGAGATCATTTAGAATAATTTAAAATATAACTGCTTTTTCCCCTTCAGTGAATCACAAACAGAATTGACTCAGGTCAAATGTTTTGTTAAGTATATTTTCCCCCCATGCTTTTAAAAGAAGAAAATAAGCACCGAGCCTTTATTTCCATCTGCAACTTACTCCTCTCTCTGCCAGTAGCTGTGGCACTCACCTGTAGGAGAGTGGTATGAAAACTCCTCTCTGTAGGACTTGAGTGGGTCTTGTGCTTCTCTGACTCTTCTCTCTCTTAGCTTTGATTTGTACATTGTTCTTTCCAGTTTTTCTACTAATATTTTCACAGCACGTTGAGCCAGAAATACTCCAGAGCAATTTTCAGCCTCACAAAGCCCGGCACTGTTACTGTGAGATATTTGAGTCTCAGTCTCTGCAGAATGTTAAAGCCTGAAGAGTAATAGTTTATTTATTTAAATGTTTTTGGCTAAAGCACTTTTGGGGATGTCATGTGACTGCTAGAACTTCAAGGCTTTCTGTTTCTCACAGCTGGGTGAATTATGATAGCGTGATTTAAAGATATTTGACATTACTGGCTTTACAGCATGAATTTGTAAGGGTCCTACACTATTAGAGTTGCTGATGATAGAAGGTTCTCAGAAGTTTTCATTTTTACTTGAAATCCAGTCATTTATGACCTTCTAATGAATGATAAAGCTCAAACTTACTCTT